TAGTGGCGTGTGTTGTACTTACAGTTATTAATAATATATTCGTTGATATGTTAATTTAGTATCTACAATGTTTTAATTAATTATTTAGTTTCGAAGATTGATTAAATATTTTTAAATACTGTTGGACCAATATGACCTCGTTTTAATCTACGGATTTATTTTATTAATTAAATAAGAGGTATTGGAAAAACACTTTCATTGAATTTTTTGTAAGAGTGATAAAATATAGGTGCAGCAATAATTTATGAACTGCACCAATATATATTAAACACGGTGCCCCAACACAAGGGACCCTATACACGTTGTAACGAAAGTAAGTAAAACATATTTGGGAATATTTTTAATGGTTGAAATTAAAACGAAAATTAATAATGAAATATTTCCAAAATTGCGTCGTTAGCAAGATATATATTTATTATATCAAATATTTATATCAAATATTTTATTTCTATATTTGAAAACAGTTGTTTTTTTTTAAATTTTGTGAACGGTTCAAGAAAAACTATAAGCTGTTAACAAAATTGTTTAGTTTATGGTAGTTTGGTAGTTTATGGCAACACTAATTTTTATGACTTCAACCACTAAAGACTTTATGAAAAAAAACCTCACATAGTTTTTCTTAGCTTTCAAATAATCTATCAAATTATCTCTTTAACGGTAAGAAAAAACAAACAAAACGAAAACAATGTCTAAAGAATCACGATTGTTAGGTGCAGAATGAGGCATGCCCCCTTATTTACCTAACAGCTTACCCTAATTTTGCGTGGGCTCAACAACTAAAAATGGGGATTTCCAGCTATTTATTACTACTCTATATTTCAAAGTATTTTGAAAGGATCTAAATAGATTGTAGTATACACTGTGGTATCAAGAAAATACAGAACTATATAATATTATTAGATTACTTTGCTTAAACTTTCAACTATAAGTCATTTTGAACGTTTTTAAATTTTGTGTTAGCACTCAAAGATTTTGTATATTATATATATATATGGTGTTTTGTGATACCATCCTGCTTGGTTGTTTTTGTATAACCTCAAATCCAGCAATTATCTGCATGAAATAAACATTTGTGTATTGATATTTATATGAATACTAAGCTTATAGAATTTTATTTTGTAAAATTGAAAACCTCAAGAGAATATCAAAGTACACACAAATTTTTTTTAAATCATTTATTACAATGAAAGTTTTTAAAAGTGTAATTAAAAATCTTGTACATCAGTTAAATACTATGTCAAAGTATAATACGTACTAAGTAAAAACGTTCTAGAAACGCAATTAACCGTACAGTTTTAAAACACCTTAATTAAAAGTGATGCTACTGTATTTGCTTGGCTTGTGTTACAGTGACACACATGTCTTCGTACCAAGCCGATGTTAAATTAACAAACATTCAGTTTACACGGCTACAACTAACTGTTGTGCCAGTAATGAAACAAATGCATGTGGTGTTCTTTATTTTTTTCAGACCGTTATTTAGGTTCGTACTCTTTATATATGAAGGAAAATGTATAGTTTATATCTATTTTATAGTTTGTGTATACACATATTATTACTTCATATTGGGTACAGTTCTATAAAATAGTTTTTGTGGATTTAAATTGAATAATCCATATGTTAGATTTTGGATTCATAATTGTCATTGTTTTACTACGAGTATTATTTAATTAATCCCATTATTTAATGTTTTTCGATATTATACAAGGTGCATCCTTCTACGTTTTATACAATATAATGGCCTAAGAAAGTTTGATTAGGAAACCTTGGAAGGTATTTTTTTGTAGATATAAACTAGAGTAACTTATATTTCACATGTTCGTTTTGAGAGTTATACATTGTGGATAACAAACAGAAGGTAACGTTTTGAGCAAACAGTGATCTAAGGTAAACTAAATACCCCCGCCACAGCAAACCTGCAGACTTTCCATTGGACTGTTTTTATTTTCAATTTAATCTATTTAAATAACATGCGGTTTATCAAGTGACTAGGTTTGCTGCTACAGGGGAGGGAGGTTAATTTAAATTATCAATACCTTTGTATAAAATGAATAAATTTGCAAAGTTTGATTAAAATATATCCATAAACATGCAAACTACAACAGTTTACTTATTATCCATAAAAATTACTTTGGAATTTATAATTTAAAATTTGTTGAATTTCATCAGTAAAAAATAAATGTAAAAAACGCTTCAATATACTGAATTTTTTGTATTTTAAGCTCTTTAATATGGTTTAAAGAGAAATTGGAAAAATATTATGCTGCGATGGTCAAAAATGAGAAAACCCATTTTTAACCCCATTAAACCACCCGTAAAATCCCGTTCTCATGGTCCGACCATGCTGGTTCACAAACTCAATCAAGTTTATTCCACCCTACATCTTCAAAAAAATGTCATCAAAATTTGAAGCCATAAATTACTTTCATCATGATTTTGAGTGAACTTAAAGATCACTCAAGTTGTAGCGTTCACGGACGTATAAATCTATACACTGTATGTCCTATATACATTGTACTTATGTAAACATTTGAACTGATATTGTTTTTGGCCTCCAGGGACACCAAAATGAAAAATAGTATATCGGTCTTTAGTCTAGGTCTTACCGTGCCACCTAGGGGCAATAGCTACTTCCCTCTATAGGGCAATTTGCTAAATATCTGCGTACCTAGAGCCAAGACCTCGACAATTAGCCTACACGGGTGTTACCTAATGTTAGCAACTAGCTAGTAAATTTTTACTGGCCATATTCTTCCAAAAGATTGAAAGTTAACAGATAGATTAAAATAATAGCCTATACAATTTTCAAGTTACTAAAGGTTGTATTAAGTTGCGTAAACAAAAGTTCTGTTATTCAGTAATCATCTATCAATTCCCGAGTCAGATCAAACCCCAACTGCACAGTGGTACTTTGTAAACCCTCGTGAATGGCAGAGTTAATTAAACAAACTAGAACAACTCGGTATACAGAATACAACTTTAGCAGATTGAAAACATCCATCACTATATGTTTGTGTGTGTGACTGTGTATACACGTAAGTGTGTGTGTGTCTGTGGGTGATGTTAATAAATGCAGTACCACATTAAAGAGCAACTGCAATAACGAGAAACATTTAACACCGCTCGTGGTATTTGAATTAGTAAAACGTTACTTTGGCTTCCCACATGGATTTTAGTGTCGGGTGTCACTGTTTCTAAATTTATCACCAGCTAAAATTTGTTTTGCTTATAAATTAAAGTTACAAATTTGCAATGTTTGAAGTAATTGGCGTTTGTTTCAGAGTTGAATGGTATTGTTTTGTGAAGTTATTACATTAAGTAAGATGAGGTATATATAAAGGTTGTGCCCCCTTAACTACCAATAGCTAATTTTTTTACTATGAGAAGTACTATCTTCATAAAAAAAATATCGTACAATACAAATAAATATTGATTCCATTGTTTGAAAATCATTTTCCAAAATAGCAACTAACTTTAAAACTAAAACACTCTGTATTCTAGTCTTTTAAGAATGTAAAATGATGCAATTTCAAGAGCTATTTACTCTTTAAATATTCTCTCTAAACTTATCCGTTTATTAGCGGTTTATCAGCTGGATGCAGAATGTACAACACAAGCAATTTTTCTTAGGTGTAACACGCTGAGGAGTCATTGACTGGCCTTAGAGAAAATATTCTTTTAAATCGCATTTATATTCTAAAACAATCTTAAAACACAAGGTTTTATATAGGAAATATTATTGTTATTTGCCATATTGTAAGATGGCAGTCATTCTTAAAAAATTAGAAACCATACAAAAAATATTTTACCTACGAACGTTTTTAAAGTAGCCGTTTCAGTTTAGTTATTAGAACTGAAAAGTTTCTCATAATAGCATTGTTTACTTTCATAACAGCATAGTTTTACTCATAACAACAAGGGTAACGGACCAATGAGGTACAAGGATTGAGAGAGAAGAAGTAAAATTGTAATGATTTAAACTTCAACTAATCAGATGTTCAGTGGAAAGTGGTAAATCATAAATCATATTGCTTTCAGCTATAACTACTCTTAATCCAAAATGATGTAGATTAATCTCAATGCAATGCAATGTATTGAGTGACTGTTTTTGGGCTAACGTTTTATTATTTTTTTAAACCGCCTTTTCTCTCTCTGGTTAATCAGAATACAATAAGACTTTGGGTATATTTTTGCATATTTTTTTATCATAGGTGGAATAGTTTGTAGCGTAATCGATACATATAACCTTTTAGTTTAAGTCAGTATCCTCCTTGTATCGCATTTATATTAAATTATATGCCTTTATGATCTGGGGCTATAGAATACATGCTATAGCCAAACCCATGTATTCTATAGCCCCATTGAAGATAAGCGATGATTAAAAAATACTTGACAGCGTTGCTTCTGACTGATACTATAAAAAGTTCAGCATACCTAAATATCATATTGTACAAAGGAAGGTAGTAATGAACCGTAGTGCACATAATATACAACCAAATCTACGCAATATATGCGTGAATTTAATTACATTACGAACTATAGTAAGCTACAAATATAATGAATACAAATACATTATTAATGACATATATGCAGTTCAATTGAACACATAGGACTTGGAAATTGAATAAAGAAAATCGCCACGTCTTAGAAATTGTTATTAACCAGGTATATATTTTTTGTAATGATTCCTTGGAGCTTGATTCGAGTTACTGAAAGCTTACTGTATTTATAAATTCAGAGTTAGTACTAGAATTTATCTTTACATTACCTAAATTAGGCTAAGCACGGACTCTTTGGTAAAACAGTTTATCTTCATAAAGCACATGAAAAGATTAATGTTATAATATTAGCCCAAATTCTAAAAGCTTTTAACATACAAGTTCAAAATTAAAACAAGACGTGCTTCTCATATTTTTGTACATTGAAGTGCTTACTATAAATGAATAATGCAAAATTTGATTTTTGGACTCATTAGTTTTATTTACGAGTTGTGGACTCACCAGATCGGCAATGTTGGCTACTTGGATTGCGTCATGTACCACCTCAGACCTCGTACTTCCGTTCCGCTTCTCAAACTAAAAAAATCAAATACATATAAATAAACAAATAAAAATTATTTCTTTTACAGATAACTCAATAGTGAATATTGTGATTGGTTTGAACGTAAATGTTGGAATTATTTGTCCAAAGAACAAAGTTGTTGCATTCCCTCCCACATTTTTAGATTATATTCTTGTTGACGTAAAAAGAATATATTCAGGTACCATGGGAAATATATTTCCTACTGTGTTTGCATTTTCGACTTATTTCACTAAATCAAAAGGTTTCGAAATAAAAAGATTGAAAGATGATTTGAAAGATTGAAATATAAGTCTTTTATTTAAACCTTTAACATAGTTTTATTTTTACAAAAATGCAACGTTTCAGATAGCAAAATAATTTCTAGAAAAGAAATACCTTTATATTACCTTCGACGAAATATCTTGGAAGCAAGTTTTAAAAATAGAGCATACTGGTATAAAAATACGAGCAGGTAGTCAGAAACTTGAAAAAGAGAATAGATCAGAAAAGGCTGCCATTTGTAACAGATATCCGGAAACGTCGATTCAAAGCAGTTACTAATGGAAGTTTCAGCAGCCAAATGATTTGAATGTAATGACACCTCTCTTTCACGTTAACTGAGAAAGATTCTTCACGCTGCAAAACGATACTTATTGACAGACAAAAACGATTTATTCATATTTTTGTTGAGCATTCAAAGTTATTAAATGAGATAAATATTCCATTAGAATATTTATGAAAAATGATTGTTGTGAAACATCTCCTGCATATTACGACCCAGTTCTTGCATATAAGAACTGCTTTGCATAAACCTTGTTATAGATATTGTGTACATTGCTTAAATGTTTCAAAATACCACGCATTCGAATTGAAAAGAATAAGAAAATCGTTTATAGTGTACATTTGGTATGAAGAAACAGGCTACTACACAGTATGCAATATTCAATATAGAGATTGAAATAGGACCAAAAATGTATGCAGCTATATCATATTATTCATTGGAAACCCAAATACGATTTTACGTATGTCAGAAGTTGTGCATTAAAATCTATCTCAGAGTAATCTATAAATATTTTTCTGCTATAATATGCGTACAATATGTATTCATCAATCAATTACGATCAATAACGTTTCAACTTTGGCTTTTAAACTCATAAAATACTTAACATAAGAATGAGTTACTTTAAACGTGAAGTTCATTAGTTAAAATAAGATACATTTCCTTTTGTTGCTGGTTTACACTGATAAAAAGTATGAATCATAAGTCCGTATACTAGAGATACTTTGAAACAAAAAATGTCAAAGTTTCACAGAATACTATTGTGTTCGAAAGTCAATTATCTTAATAACCAGCGGTTAGATACAAGTATTGAGGAATACAGAATATGAATCCAATTTATTTTAATTATTTTACCGATGACATATTACGTATTTAAGTTACGTAGTACCAATAACACTGCTAATTCTGACAAATTAATTTGTGTCAATAAATAATTTGGGTATTTTTTTCAAATTCAGATTTTCTGATTTATAACATTTGAAAAATACTCATAAGTGACGTTCCCATCTCAGATAGGCGATGACACGTCGTACTATAGTATAAGGTAACTAGTTTTATTATGATGTATTGACTACAAAACCGCGTCATCAATTTGGAACTGTTTCTGTACTTTACGTGGAACGAAATGACGTTGCCAGTCAAGCAAAGACTGAGTGTGAGACAATATCAGCAAACTTCAAAGCACCGCTACTCCACTCATGCTGGGAGCTTTTGTTCCTTTATCAGAGCTATAACACACCATATTGTGTGAGTATGGTGCATATTGTGCGGGAATGGTGTACAATGTTCACGCAGAGATGATTGCCTTTCTAGACTGGGTTTGATTCAAAGTGACAAAGTGTGATGAAAAAAAACGAACTATGTTTTTTTCAGTATGGGTTTTAACAATATTTTATTATTTTACTGTATTAACATATGTTGTCGATGTTTTAGGACTAAACATTTGTGTTTTAAGTGTTAAATTCCACAAATAATAGTCATGCACGGAATTAGTTGAGTATATTTCAGGCAAGAAATGTGAAATTTGACCCACGTCCTACAAAGTTATTTTTACGTTAGGCCTACCTAATATAAAAATCTGAAAATAAAAACATAAATGAAAAGCTTTAATCTACAAAAAATTTCCCATAGCGTGATTATGAGTAGTAACATTCAAGTGGTTGACATTGTCCCTATAAAAACATTTACATCGCTTGTGCGGCTGAACCTATAAATGTTTATCGCCACTGTAATCGCGGAGCTGTTTTTGTAATCTGATGATAAAATATCCAATAGTCAAAGCTGCAGTCACGCCAAATGTAATAGCCAATAAAAACGAAATGGATGAAAAAATGAGAAAAGTTTTGTTACGGGACTACATAATGTGTATTCGTTAGCAAAATGTTGAAACGAAATCCCGTGTCTTGAATTACACCAATGTATTTTTGTTTTTGTTGTTTCTTTCAAAACAACTTGTTTATTACGTGATACCAAAGTTATCGTATAGTAATCTAATGATGTCCGTTTGTGTGTTACTCAATTACGTAAAAGCAACTGAACCGACTGAGCTTTAATTTGACAAAATATAACTACTACACCGAGGATCCGTTTAGGACTATTCATTCTTCGATACTGACCGAGGCTCTGTCCCTTCGGCTTTTGAAGTTAGGAGGTGAGGATTTTAAAAGTAAATGTTGATTGGTCTTTATGGGTGCAATACGAACACTCACAGTGTTTAAATTTGATATGACATCTCAATGAGAACAAACATAACTGCCAAATTGGTGATATTTTCCCAAAAAATCGTCTATAGATAAAATAGTTACTAATATTGCCCAAATTCCTTCAGTTTCCCTAGAGCTTGGGAGGAAGAGTTTTTCTTACTTTGGACCCTCATTGTCTACCCAACGGCCTGAAGATTATTGGATCTAACAATTCCTTTAAAGAAAAAACTTAGAGAGCTGTTTTTAAGACATTTTTAAGGATATCCTAAGTGATAAAGGCCAAATACTAGCATAGGATAGTTTGTTATATAGTGACTAAGTTGTTCTGAAAAGCTTGTGTACAAAAGAAAAACTTTAATAAAGACATTTTTATTTATTTACTACCACAAAGTTGGCTTGAGCAAATGAAATATATTATTCAGCTACACCATGTGGTACGTTTATTTATTTTAATGTGGTTATGGAAATTGAAAGGAAACGGGCTAGACTCTATAGCCATTGTTGGTATTAATCTAGACTCTCCATGTTTCCACGTCTCCATGTTTTCAAAATTAACATCAAGCGAATTATTTTATTGATAAATCAACTTATCCGTATTAAAACTTGGAACATTATTAGATTTACATACAGTTATACAGGGTGTTACCAAATTGTCTGGACATATTTTGTGAACTTGTTCCTTGGGCTAAGACAAACATAAAATGCCATATAAGTATGAGTCTAAAATGCCTAGATTTCTGTTTGTCGGTCTGTTTGTGATTTTTAAGAATTATTTTATATCTTATATATTTGGAAACACCCTGTATAAATGAAATAATTGGAATGATTTCGATATTTTTTGTCTACTATTTGAAAGTACTTACATGTGTCTGGATTAGGCCTTAAAATATAGACGTTTTTCTTCCATAAAAAGAACTTTATGCACATATTTTACAAATTTGAGGTAATTATGCTTAATCTATTTCCTTTGCAATTTGAAACCATACTTTTAGACTACCAATTTCACAATTCCTCATGGTTCTTACTCAGCAATAGCTGCTATATTTACTCGAGTATAACTGCACTAAGCACCTTATACATACGCTAACCCCCTGACGAAGGACGGCTACTCTGCTAGTGTTTAATAACAGCGACCATGTGGCTAAAGTTTGGAACCGCTAAACTAATAAAATAGTCCAACACAATTTCATTCATAATTTTAAGAAACACAACCAAAGAACAACTGTTACAGTTGCACTAGTTTTTCTGTAGCAAACCACTTTAGACTATTATTCTCACCCATGTATCATAAACTACGAAGAGAAACAGTCTCATTTTCCACTGCAGCCGATGTGAGTGCCAACACTTTTTACCAATGTAAATATTTCTACAAATACATTTCTGGTGGCGGGCCTGCAACGTTGGCAAAACGCCACTAGTTGTGCGGGAGTTATCAATGAATCATTTAGCACCCAGTAACTGCTGTTGTACACACGATCATTCAATAAATTCTACAACCGAGCTTTGTTCTGCAAATGCTGAAATAATGGAAATGTTCAAGTCACACAGAATATTGGCAAAACCAGCAATTTTAATGTTTAATGATCTTGATTTGAACTTAAAACCTTCATTTACAAGTAGTGCCTTTGAACACGTATTAGAGACAGAAACGGTAAACCGACCGCTTATAATTGATTTAGATAGATATTGGATGAAAAATTATTCTTTCTTTGATAAATGAATGTCTCACTGATGTATGCATTCAAAATACGCGTTGACTAAATATAATACAAAAGGAACATTAAATAGATTACTTAAATACCACAACCGTTTATTCGCGATACGAGAAAATTACATTACGCTTTACGAAATAACAATACCTAGTTAAGATAACGATATAGTTATTCCAGTTAAGGATATCCTGTATGAGTAGGAAAGCAATTAAAAGCAGAACCAATTACCAGGTGTGTTCTTAGGGTTGGGTTTAATTTAAACCCAATTCAAAGACATTGTCTAGGTTTCAATCAGACCTAGTGTAAGTAGACGAGTTGAGAATGCTTTTGTTCATAACTCGGTATGTGATTAGTAAAGTACAACCTATTGTTTTCTTGCTTGGTTCTACGTAATGAGGAAATTGGAGTGTTTTAACTATTGTTTTCGCAAAAAAGAACATGTTAAGACATCTATCAGTATAACATATATTTTATATTATTACTAAGTTAAAAAAATCCAATTTTTCTCATAGTGTAATACGTGTTTGCACAGTTTGTAA